ACGGGTGCTCACTAGACCGGTCGTCAGGCTCGTCCCCCTTCCCGACACCGACGAGCCGGCTCGATTCGGGAATACAAGCTTGGCTTTAAGTGCGCCGCCGCATAAACAGCCTCGTGGCATTGCTATGTAGATACTCCTATGCCAATACTATGTAAATAATCTCTTAACAAGCTTTGTATATTATAGTCGCCGTGTAAGCTTCCTCGCAGCGTGTCGCGATGCCTCGTTCGCTCCCGATCGATCTTGTCGTCGGTTCCCGACGAGGCGGGCGGGATGTTGGAAATCCCCGTATTCCCCTTGACTCGTGTGGGAATTCCTTGGCGCTCGATCTGAGCCGCGATCACGCATAAGGCCACGTGCTCCACAAGGACAAGTCGGGGGGCGAGACGCGTAAACAGTGTATACGCCGCCGAGTGAGTCGCGTTCGGCAGTCGTGTCCGAGCACTTCGTTCCGCGCCCGGCTGATTCGCGCTATTATCGCTCGGCTGTGCTTTCGAGTGCGATACTCTTTATACACCAGTAACGATTCGCTCAGCTGTAAACTCGAGTGCGATCGTTGCATAGTCAATAGAATAAATCCACCCTTTTGTTCGCCATTTACTCATTATTCTTGTTTGTCCGACTTTTATGAGCCTTCCTTGCCGCTCCCGCTCGTCAGTGCTCCGTGAGTTCCGACGTGCCTAGCGATCGCGCGGACGCGCTGGCACTCAAGTAGACTTAGTTCTGAGCACATCGATTGTTCTGAGACACGAGTCCGGTAAATCATTCTATCTTAACGCTTTTGTCTCGGTCGTGTGCAAAGTGTTGTGCAACGAATACTGCCTCATCAAAGCCATTCTCGAAGAGGGTATTCTCCGCAAATATCTTGCAGCTTTTCTGGCAGATATCTTACAAAGATCCCAAAAGGATAAGATCTGCTGCTTACATGTCAGCTACGTGTCGCTAAATTGATAACGAACAAGGTAAGTATTTCTAAATCTCTCTTTCTTAAATTCTCTGTCTCTCTCTCTGTCTCTCTCTGTCTCTCTCTGTCTCTCTCTCTCTCTCTCTCTCTCTCTCTCTCTCTCTCTCTCTCTCTCTCTCTCTCTCTCTCTCCTCCCTCCCCCTTCTCTCTCTCATCTAAATTTTCGTAACAATCATTTATTTGATTTTCTTATATAAATTAATACTGTGCTCTTTTTATGTAAAAAGAGTCCTGCACAATATTAACGGCATATAAATTATGGCACATAAACAACAATACGCTCTTATAAAGTGGATTGAAGATGATACGTATACACTAGGTGTACCAATTGATTGGATTAAATATTTTGAATATGATACTTTTATATCTGGAAATTATGATTTAAGTCGAAGCGTTCCCATTGAATGGCGAAATACGAGAAAAGAACCCCATGGAGGATGGCCATGTTATGATGGTCTAATTATTGCAGTTTCCGGTAAGTTATAAAAAGGTATTAATATTATAATTATTTTGATGATTAAATCATATTATCAACATCAATGATTTTAATTGCCAGATACGGTCAATAAAAATCACTGATGTTGTTAATTACTTCTGGCGACTTCTAAGAATATTCTTACTAGTTAAATCATATTATCTTTTAGATAATATCTTTTAATCATAAAAATAATATATCATAAATCTAAATATGTATTGCAGGCAAGATATCGAAATTAGAAAAAAAACTTAAAATATTTGAAGGTACAAAATCATCAAAGCGTGTCACAGTACCTGAAATAGAACATTCTTCAAAGAAAAAAAAGGGCAAAAAGTATAACAAAATTTATAAAGAGAATGAAGATAATAATGATTCTTTTAAACGCGCAGAAAAGAGATTGGGAGAAACAAGCAAAAATAAATCGTATCTAAATAAAAAAACTAAACTTACTACCGAAGAATATATTGATTATGAAATACCTTCCACAAGCTATTCACAGGAAACTACAGGAAAAATGATACCGGTGAATTTTAATGTGCAACTAAATCCTAGCTCAGATTTATATTTCATACCTATGTTTAAAATTTTAATTTACGTTTAACTCTCTAATTCTAATTATGTTTAGCGTAATATTGTATTTGATGAGGAAAATATTCAACAAGTCATATTAAATTCATCTCATTCTGAAGACGATTTCAATATTGATACTACAAAAACTTACTCAGTAAACAAAATTACTTTGGAAACTCTACATGAAGGTATATAACATCTATAAAGCACAATAAAATTGTTTGATCTAAATTATATTGCACGTCTTGTTCTCGATGATAGTACAGGTCTATTATAAAATTTGAAGAAAAAAATTAACTTTCAGATAATTTAAAGATCCAAGCTATGATCCAACAACTCTTTAAGAGTATTTCAAAGGCAAAATTGACATTGACTGAATCAAATGACACATCTACTTCTTTAGAAGAAGAAATGGTTCGATATTTATATATTCAAGTATTTTATACGTATAATATTCATGTATAATATTTTATATGTAAATATTTATAAATATAAATATCACTTAATAACGATTTGAGCAGGTGGAGATTCAACCAGGTAGTGGGGTTAAAGTCAGAACTCGTGATTGGAAATTAGCCCTTTCACGTCCAACGTTTACTGCAATGGGACGAACATTATTGACTCTTCTTTTTCCACACGAAGTCCTTCTTCGTAGTAATTTAAAAGGGGGTCCCAGCAAAATAAAAAGGACTGATGGAAAAGCTGCTTTTACGGCGCTAAACCCGCGAATTCTTAGTGCTTTAATATGTAAATGATGATACTTATTAACATCATAGGGGAAC